GGGATGCTGAGATAGAAGGCTCATATGGTTGGATTGAATGTGTTGGTATTGCAGACAGATCTGCTTATGACTTGTGTGCTCACTCGGTAAGATCTTGTTCTCTGTCTTCATCTTATCTTTATTTTATTAATGTGGTGATTTTAAAATATCTTATTATCATTATTAAAGAGGTTAGGCTGGTCACCTTTGTTATGTTTGGGAGCGCCATATGAACAGTGTGTTCTGTTAGGAACACAGAGAGGGTACCATTAATTTTATCAAAACAAATCTGGTTTTTGTCCTTCCTACTGTTGTGACTTCTTAGCTAAGTTTGAGTAATCTGGCCATGCTATCAAAAGCTAGGTGAAACACAAAAACTATTATTTTTCTATGCGAATATTATATATGCTAAATAGACGCAGCATCATTTTATTGTTTATGTCAGGAGAAAAGTGGTGTCCCGCTTGTGGCTGCTGAGAAGTTTTCAGAACCTAGAGAAGTGGAGGTATTTTTGCAGATTATCCCTATCTTTTCCATATGTTTGGCTACTGTTAAGATTGCATGATTTTTATATTTATAATACAGAAAAGATCCGTAAGGTTCTACTGCAAGAAGAAGTAAATAAATTGGCGCCTTGTTCATATATTTTCAGAAATTGGTTATTGCTCCTGTGAAGAAAGAGCTGGGCCTTGCATTCAAGGGAAACCAAAAGAATGTCGTAGAAGCTTTGGAGGTAAACGATAAACTAGATTTATGAAAGTTTTAATATTTCATGCCCTGTGTTTTCTGCCCATCCATATCAACCCATGAATAAATTTCTTTTAATGCTTAGGCAATGGATGAAAAAGAAGCTCTCGAAATGAAGGCTTCTTTGGAATCCAAAGGGGAGGTGGAATTCTATGTCTGCACTCTTGGGGAAAATGTGCCCATAAAAAAGAACATGGTCTCAATTTCAAAGGAGAAAAAGAAAGAACACCAAAGGGTTTTTACACCATCTGTGATCGAACCATCCTTTGGAATTGGGCGGATAATTTATTGCCTTTTTGAGCACTCTTTCTACACAAGGCCAAGTAAAGCTGGAGATGAGCAGTTGAATGTTTTCCGGTTTCCTCCTCTTGTGGCACCTATTAAATGTACTGTATTTCCACTGGTTCAAAATCAACAGTACGAGGATGTTGCGAAAGTTATTTCAAAGTCATTGACGGCTGCTGGAATCTCACATAAGATAGACATTACAGGTATTTGATTAAAGAACGATGCCTCTTACTTGCTTGAACTTTTAACTCGTCACTTGATCCCTTGTGGTATTTACAGGTACCTCAATAGGGAAAAGGTATGCTAGAACAGATGAACTCGGTGTTCCGTTTGCCGTTACTGTTGATTCAACGGAGGACGTGACGATCCGGGAGAGAGACAGCAAGCTCCAAGTCCGTGTTAGTGTGGAGGAAGCAGCAGCAGTTGTTAAGTCCGTGACTGATGGACAGCGAACATGGGAGGACGTGTGGGAAAAGTTTCCGCATCACTCTTCTGGGTCGGCAGATGATTAAGTCTTAAGACATTCCAGCACTCATTTGTTGACATAATAACAAGATATCCGAGTTGAGAGTTTAAAGTTTTCATGGTAATTTTGATGGAGATTACAGTATTAAAAAAAATCCGAATTTAACAATTGCTTTCATCATTTTATAATAGTTTGATAATTTTTTTGATAAATTTAATTGAAATTATTATTTAAACACAGTTTAGGAATAGGTAAAATATGTATCACCGAAACTACCCTTCCTCCTACCTTTCAACTTTCTCAAATTGAAACAACTATACTACACTTTTAAAGAATTATGATCATATACACGTTAAAAAACTATCACTTATCTTTTTTTATTAATATTAAAATTAAGCTTATAGATTTTAAAAAGTTTACTACTAATATATTTACTGATATTTATACTGACCATAAAATCTTTGATTAAATTAATTGAGTGTTAATTTAGTTTGAAATAATTAAAATATTCTTAAATGAGAATTAATATTATTATTTCTTATAAATGTTATTAAATTTTATCTTTTCACATTTTTATGTATAAATGTTAAAAAGTTTAAAATGAAATTAATTAATTTATATAAAAATTCTTTCCTAATTCTCTTAATTGAATAATTTTTAATCATATATATGAGAAATTATTTGATGTAAAAATTATGCAAATTTTAGAAAAGAAACATATATATATTGAAGAGCCTCCTTCACCAACCTCCGCTCTGTTCAGCCTCTGATCCCCCTGGTCTTTATCGATGGCCACCGTTTCCAAGCTCTCTAACCCCAACCCATCCAGCTCTCTTTCAATGTCTTTCAAACCTATATCTTCATCGGTTAACCTGCCAGGCCCGGTTTCAACTCCAAGCTGCTTTCATCTTCTACCTTGTCCTCTATTAACAACCCCCGTTCCAACTTCCAAGAGCTCCTTGATGTAAGTAATTCCGCTCTTTCTCAGTTTGATGTAAACGGTGATGTTTTGATTCCGTTTCTTGATCTGATGTCGAAATAAATTTGCTTTGATTTTTATCATCATCAACTTGAGTTGATGAATAATTCGGTGTTTGTGGTGTTGCAGATTTCAACCATGGCAGACGAAGCTCTCCAAGCCTTCATAACGACACAGTTTCGAGGACGATCGACGCAAACGTGTCTGAAGCTGAAGGCATCTATATTCTATAGTGCAGTTGAGAAGTTGGGGACTGAATGGGGCAAAGTCGGCGCACAGCTTGAAGACGAGGGAGTGGAATCTTTGAAGACGAGTTTTGACAGCCTTCTGACACCTTGCAAGACAAGGCAAACACTCTTAAGTTGGTGACGCCTTAGGTTTTGCGGTCACTGCGACTGGAAAAAACAAGCGGGATCTTGGTTGCTGCCTGGTGAGAGTTATGTTAAACGTTGAATATCATGTAATATCAAAGTGTTTGCTTAATGCAACTTTTTATATTCTTCCCTTTCATTGCTACTGCTGACCAATGAAGTTGCATGCGTACTCTTGCTAATATATGGGAAAAATACCACTTTTATATCAATTTATCAAAATAATGCCCAAACGACATTGTTTATCAAAATCACACTCTTTTCTAGGTCGGTTAAAACTGATTTAACTGATCGATCTGAATTCTTTTTGTTTAATTGGTCGCTAATTTTAGGTTTGGTTAGTTAACAGTTAATGATTTTTTTCATACTTCGATTATTAGTTAATTCAGTTCAAAATTGATTAATTAACTGAATTAACTAAAATATTTAATATTTAATATATTATATATTATTTATATATCACTTAGACTTAGGTGTGTTTAAACTTCGGTTTTAATAGAATAAATCGATCGAATGAACCGAAAATATTAAATATATTATTTATAAATTTTGGTTAATTCAATTAACTGAACGAATTAACCAAGCTTTGTTCGGTTCAATTATTTTTAAAAAAAAATTGATTCATTTAACGGTTAAAGAGGAAAAAAAATTCAGTTAATAAATTTTGTGTAGTTTGGTTCGATCGGTTAATCGAATCTACCGATTGAACACCCTTACTCTTGTGGTCATTCAAAAGACATATTTTATAAGATATATCTTTATTGATATGGTATTTCGGACGGTTTCTTTTATATTGATGTCATCCAATATCAAAATGAAAAAAAAAAATAGGCCAAGCACTTAAATAAATTATATGAATTTTATTTAAAAAAAATGAATGAATGTAGTACATATCATAAACATGTGCTTAAAAAAGTTATATGAATTTTATTAAAAAAAAGAAATAATGAATGTAGTACATATCATAAACATGTGCTTAAAAAAGTTATATGAATTTTATTAAAAAAAGAAATAATGAATGTTGTACATATCATAAACATGTATTTCACGAGCCAGTCAGACGTCGACGGTTGCAAGTGTATTCTTGACTAATTTATGGGAATAATACCCTTTTATATTATTTTATCAAAATGACACCTAAACATTATTGTTTAAAATAATACTTTTTTTAAAAGCGTGCTACGTAGAGATGAGTAAAATTCGACTCGACTCGAATAAACTCCACTCAAATTGACAAAAATAATAATTTTATAAATTTAATTTGAAAAAATTTTAAATTCGAGTCAAATTATAAAATAGAACTTGAATAACTCAACTAGTAACTTGAATAAGTCAAAATTAGTAATTATACGATTGATTTTCAAGTTTGAATTGAATCTCTTACTTTTATATGATATATGTATATCACATATGAAAAAATATGAAGAAATATATATGTATTGTATATGGTTATAGAAAACCATTTAAATTTGAGTCAAATTGTACCATAATATTATAAATATTTACAATTAAATTTACAGAAACACAAGCAACTCGACTCAGTTCAAAAAAATTAAAATAAAATTTAGGTTATAAAGAATATTTTTCTACTTGAATAGCTCAAAAAAATTTTATTCAACTCGACGTAACGTGAGAAGTGGTTTTCAAACTACATGTTTTGTAAAGCGTATCTTTGATGGCGTAACATGTTTTTCAGAAGAATTTTACCATGCTAATGATACATAAGACCAAAATGAAAAGGAGACACGTATTAGAAAAGAAATAATATAGACGATACGTATCAAAGACACATATTTGTACGAATGGATTCGACGATGACCGCAAACATGTATAAATCTTTAATCCCTAAATGAATGAATGATTAGAATATATTGAAATACTTAAAAAAACTCGTATATAAATAATATGAGATTTGAGAATATCATGACAAAAACTTTTTGATTTAGAACTGTCAAAATAATTATTAAATTTGATTAGACTCGTATTAGTACGACATCTAATACGACATTGTTCCCTTATGTAATACTCGAGATCCTAATATAAAAAACAGAATAATACTTCAAGGGTTGAAACAGGAATTTAGGTATAGTTTAAGGCCTAATTTACCTATTATTCCTAATAGAAAATAAGAAAAGACAAAAGGATAAATATATAGGGGCAGAGAGCAATCCAAAAAGCTGAGGCTGTTATCTTCGCGCGTAGAAACTTCTCTCTCTCGATTCTCACCGTCTGATGGCGTCGATTTCAGCAGCTGGATTTCTGCCGCAACCCCTCGCCTTCTCCGTCGGAACCGGAAGAGCTTCTTCAACTGTGGTACGTCCTTCAATTTCCTCATAATTTCTTCTATCTAATAGACTACCCAATCCAAAGTGAAATGTACGTTCTTTGGTTTCAGAGACCAATAGCATGCTTTTCACTGCAGCAGCAACAATCTCAGCTGATTGAGCGAAGAAAAGTAATGGTAGTAGGGACGGTTGGGTTACTCGCGGCCGCTCTCTGGCATTCTTCCGACGGAAATATTGGAACGGCAATGGCCGCCTCATCTGGATTTACCGACAGTAATCCTTAATCCTTTTGTCACTTAAAATTGCATTTCATTTTTACCACCTTCTTGGTTAAAAATTATATGTTGCTAACACAAATTGTTGTAATTTGGAACACAGTGCCTGCACTTAGGGGAAAAGATTATGGGAAGACCAAAATGAGATATCCAGACTACACTGAAACAGAATCAGGTCTTCAGTACAAGGTCATTTGCTAGAGAAAAAAAAATCAATTCAAAATTAAGTAGTGTTTAATTGGTGTGTGTGTTCTTATATCTTAATAAAATTTTCAATGAGAATGCAGGACTTGCGGGTGGGGGATGGCCCTACACCCAAGATGGGAGAAACAGTTGTGGTAAGCAACAATTTTCAAATGCTTTTTACACCATGTTAACGGTAGTAAATTGTTTGTCATGCCAATTTTTGGATACAGTAAGCTTCCAGTTGAAGCCATTATGTTATCAAGCTGAATGCAATAATCGGAAATTTTTTTAACTTTAGTACTTGTTTACCTAAGTTTCATTTACTGGAATGAACCTTTGGACATTGGAAAAATGGAAGGTCCGAGAACAATGAAGTGGGATGCCTTTAGAAGGTATTAGGTGTGGAGTTTGGCGCATAAGGTAGGATGGTATATCTGTTAGTTAACATGAAGTGATTTTAATACCTTCAAATTTAGATCACAATTGTTATTGTTTTTGTCTAAGCTAATTCAAGCAGTTTTATGATCCATTAATTATATACTGTAGGTTGATTGGGATGGCTACACTATAGGATATTATGGCCGCATATTTGAAGCTCGAAACAAGAGCAAAGGCGGTTCCTTTGTGGTACATAAACGCTTCCTATCCTAATTCTGCATGTCATCCTAAATTAGTTGATTATTTCATGATTTTATCCTGTTTAAACTATGCAGGGAGATGACAAAGACTTCTTCAAATTTAGACTTGGATCCCAAGAGGTGAGTAGTTTTTGCTGAAACAGATTGAATAGTGTTCTCCATAAAAACTCAAGAATGTTGAAGATATATTATTTGAGTCTTCCTGCTATATAGTGCATCTGCTTATTGAGACTTAGATGGATATTGAGCGAACAATATAAAAATGAAACCTTTGAACAAGTTTTTCTCATTATCTCATATTCAGGTGATTCCAGCATTTGAGGAAGCAGTTTCAGGAATGGCTCTTGGTGGTGTGAGAAGGTGCTTGCTATGCTTTTCTAATGCATAAAATCTTGTTTATTGTATTTACACATTGCATACTCCTCTCTGTAATATCCTGTCAAATCCTCAATCTTGATCAATGGTTTCAAGTGCATTTTGCTGCTTTTACTCAGTTTGAGCTAATAATTTTGTGGTCCAATCTGTCATTCGTCTTTAACTTGATGCAGTTACCTGACATTTTACAGCGAAAACAAACAAGGATTAAGTTATTTTTTTGTGTGATATGCAAATTTCACAGTTTACTTCACAGTGATGCAGGATCATAGTTCCACCAGAACTGGGATATCCTGACAATGACTACAACAAAAGTGCCCCCAAACCAACGACCTTCTCAGTAAAATTCAAGCCGTTGACTCATTGTGTTTTATTCTTTTGTTCATATGATGTAGTTTTTTTTCGGTGTTTTCCACAGGGTCAACGAGCATTAGATTTTGTGCTAAGGAACCAAGGGTTTATAGATAAGACTCTACTGTTTGATATTGAGCTCCTGAAAATCATTCCAAATTGATTTCGGCTCAAAGGTCATCATTGCATAAACAACTAGAAACCGAAAATATATCAAGGTTAGAAATTGTGGATATTTTATGTTTTTGAGCTGCTCATATACCATTACAATGAATCACGAGTCTCCTTTTTTATCCCAGGGAAGTTTTCTAATACTGTAACTGGGAGTTGTCATCCATGGCTGAAAATATTGGAAAGCATTGAGCAAAGAATGTAAAGTATCTCTTTGAAGCAAGCAGTGAGGCCATGTTTCATACTCCAAATTCTAGCTATTGTTGTTTTTTGACATTTTTATATATTGCCAACTAAAATATAATGGTGTGAAGAAAGTTGAGATTGCCCATTATGACCAAATTTTGTTACGATCCAAATCTTCATTCAGTGCCAGAAAGTTTTGTAGCATTCGTGTATTGTTCTATGTATTTATACTGTTCTTTTTGCTGGTTCTATCTTGTATCTACAGATGTTGGGAATAAATTGTTATCCTTTACTCCTTATATGCATATATATGGCTAGGATCCAATTATATTGTGTAAAACTAAAAGAGTTTTACACAGACTTAAGACCGTTGGATGAGTGAAAATAGATGACTGAGTTAATAGTAGGAAATGAAAAGATTGTGAATGGCTAGGTTGATACCGCAGGTTGATACCGCATGTTGTCTTCATTCAGCTGCTCCAAGGAAGCGTAATTCAGAACCTGTCGCAATCAAGCCATGAGATTGGGCAAGTCTCAGGCGCAGCTTGTTGGACAGGTTCAGTCTGGCACTCTAGCTGAGGCGATCCCTGATGGTAGGCATTGGGTTGTTTGTTTATTTGCCGATGGTGGTTGATTTAGGTGCTTACCGTATGTTTATCGGTAAATCCGCAAGTATTCTGTAGTTTGCATGCTGGAATTCCTCGATGAGGAACCTACATAGCCGGATGCAATGATCCAATGAAGAGTATAGTGTCACGATTAAGTCCGTGACAATAGGCTCTGTATATGCTAACATAGCTGGTGGCATGGGTTGTTTTTGTTTACAGTACATATGCATACAGTATCATCAAATGAATACAGGGAACGAAGAAAATAGGCAACAATGGTGGCTGTCTCTAAATCTAAAGATACAGAATTTGCGTTGCATGTTCATCTTCCTTTCACCTATTAGTCCGATAATCCTCCTCACTAACGTTTTCAAGGTTAACCGTGGTAAATGAACTGAGCTCAAATATACATATTTAATGTTCATTTCGTTTATTTATATTTGATTTATGTTTAATTCGTGTTCATAAAAAAGTTTTAAATTGTTTTCTTATTTTGACACCACTTTAAGTGAATATTGATACAACTTAAAAATAATTGGTGTCCCTCAAAAAGGAAATTGATACTCATAATTTATCTCCACCAACTTCGAAAAGTTCTTATAAATTTTTTTCTTAGTTTCTACATCTCATCTTACTCGAGATATATTATATAGTAGAATTAAAGAAAATGGTTGATTTTGATTCAACGCGTCTTTGAGTTTTAAAGTTGAGTTTGAGATGCTTGGATCGATGGATTTTGATTTAGATGATGGTTGCTGCAATGGTGATGCGTTTTGATGGAGCTGGACCCTAGATTTGGTGAAGTCTAAAGACTGGTTTAGTGAGGATTTTAGATTTGTTGAGAATAGTCGAATAAGAATTTTGATTTTCAACACCACCACCGATCGAAACTTCAACACCGTTGATAGACCGATTTCTTCCATCAATGCCGCATGACAGCAAGCATGAATAGGAGAATTAAATCCCGGCTGAAACCACCAATCGTTGTCCTCACACCTTGATGGTTGAAGCATAACACCACCACCGAAGCATAACGATGACAAGGACAACGGCTACACGTGAAGGAAAGAATTACAGTAAATCTACTTCCTCAAGCCCTAAATCAGATTAAAAAAAAAACAGAGGCAAAGGCAAGAGTTGACGATGAGATGACTGACGATAAGGAAGATGGCAAAGACGACGACGCTGGCCAACAAAAGACAATGATAAAAGAGAATGGAATTAGTTTTAGAGATTTTATAGATTTTCAAGGACAAAGAAGTCGGATGATAAATAAAATGTTTCAAAAAAATATGGACACAACACATATCACAGTTTGAGGTTGGTAATTTTTTTTAACCATGCCAGATTATACTCGTAGAATAACAATGTCGAAAACATTAGATATCAACCTTGAACGAAAAATATTTTAAACACCTAAAATAAGCAAAATTATTCGCTAGCAGTACAGTGTAAGCACTTGGGTTTTCGTTAAGCCTAGAAAAAAGCTAAAATAAAAGTGATTTTGTACAGTTTAAGTGATAAAGATGCCATTATGAAGTCAAGTCATAAGTTGGTGAGATGCCATCCTATATAATGGGGGGAAGTCGAGACTCGTCCAATATGTTATAAAGGACGAGCGGTGTAGGGTCTCATCAAGGTGGTTCAATCTCCATTTTTTTTGCACAAGTTGGTGAACCACCACAATAATTGCTCCCTTACCCCAATTAATGGTGGCTGCTCCACTTATAAAAAAAAACCATTTCTTTTATTAATCCTTGTACCATGTCAAAGTTATGCATTAAATCCATATACTCGTAGTTACATCTTACATCCCATCCAGAAAACAAGATTTGGCCAAACGCAAGACAACATGAGGCGGACTCGCAAGAATCAACCATGTTAAAAGAGAGTATTGTTCTCCTCAGAGATCACGAGTTCGAGCAGCTACGTCTGCATGGTATGTACGTTGTTAATAACTAAGAAATAATCTAAACAGATACTACCTAATAATCACCCGGACTAATAAGAAAAAGAATCAACCATGTTTGTCGGCTCAAAGAATCCCAATCAACATCATGTGAAACTTGAACATAAAGATTCTCATCAGAAAAATAAGCAGAAGTTTATATTCTTTTATTTTATCCTGAGACTCCTATTCATACTTTTGTAATGTTCAACATATTTAGCATAGGTAACAAAGTACAGCTGACATTTGATTGTTGCGCATCATCGAGTCAATTCCGCGATAGTTATGTTTACAGGCAGCTACTATGACTTCACACGGTTTATTATTATATTAGCTTTTTACATTGAAAGTAACACCATGATCATTCAAGTATGAGTAGGAAGATATTACCAGGTAGTATACCAGTGACAGTCCGATAGACAAAGAACAAACTCTTCTTTACATGATGTGCCTCATCGATAAAAGACTAGCGAGCTTATACGTACCGATAATACCTGCCGCTCTATATGTATTTGCTCCATTGCATTAAAATCTGATTTAACAGACTTAGGGGCTTTCACAGAACTCCATTTCCTGTACCACAAAAGTAAAGACACTTAAAATCAGATACAACTCGAAGATCCAAGGGAGAAAGAGGCTAATTAAGTTGGCGGCTTCCTTTCTTCTAAACCCAACAGACAAAACTTGGCACTTATTCTCATTCACGATGTTACAGAATTTACCCTACACCCCATGGCCTAAAATATACAACGGAGACTGGATGTAGCATTTTAGAATGAGTAATTTGGTGTACTCTAAGTACCTTGCCACATATCGGACACCTTTCACTCCTTTCCAACCATTCGTAAATACAACCGAGATGAAAATGGTGTGAGCAGCGAGCAGTGATTTTAGGATTTTCTGAGGTATATTCTGCAAGAAAATAATCACTGATGTACATAATCATAACTTTGAAATGCTAAAATGAAGTTTCCTTTTTTGATCCAACTATTACGACTTCTGCCCTACTAAAATCTTACTACATTCCTATTTCGAAAACCAATGAGCATACCATTACAACCACAAAACAAATTTTTTCCATCTTTCAAGACAGAAAACTGCAAAATTACCATCAAGACAAGTAGGGCAGACATCCTCGTCTTCAGCTGAAGGCTGCAAATAGTTAGGTCCTTTTGCAACTTTTGGTGCCAAAGTTCTCTCTGATAACTCAAGATGAGAAATCTTAGAGTCTTCTTCTACCTCAACTCCATTCCATTTCCTCCCAATACCCAACGGTTCCACACCAGAGCTGCTTGTATTTCTTCTTAGTGGTTGTGTTTCTTCTTGAAAATGAGTCGCAGACTTATCACGCCTAGAGACCAAGCCATCACGTTGCAAGCGAGAGTATCTCTGCTCAGCATCGAAAGGAATTGATCTGGGTGTTGTTATATGCGTTTCATTGGCTGAATCATCTGAGATTGCAGAAACAATCGCTGTTGACGACAGAGAAGCTCCTTGAATCTGGGATGATACAGATTGGCCATCCAATCTATGAAACAGAGCACCATACTGCAGATCAAAGAAGAAATGGAAAATTAAGAAGTTATTTCATCAAGCTGAATTGAGGTGTAAATATATGACATTGCAAAAGCAAGAAAATTAACACACTTACCTTTCAAGAGAAACACGGTACATTCACAATCTTCGTATTGCTAATTTAACATCTAAAGAATTTTATGGAGTATTTACAAGCTTTACACATGCCATTCTTAAAAAAAAAAATTCATGCAAACTGAGGTTCAGAGAAATTAACAAAGTGACATTAATCTGCTTTATACCTTACATTAATTTGCTTAAGAGACATACCCCGGTGAATAGCTGATAGAAGAAGAATCTTAGGCAGATGCAGTGCCTATATATTGAATTGCTAGGATAAGCATATTCTTCATAGTCATCACCACATGAACAGCAGCAACAAACACCCATTTCTGCTTGCGATGTATGTATTTCCGATTATACAATTCGAGAAATGCCTTTAGAGCTTGCATAGAAATTCATTAAAAATCGTTCAGCTTCATTCCTGATAAACAACATTTCCAATGGAATTGAAGGGGGAAAAAAGAATGAAAAGCAGGTTCAGCTTACACAAGGGAGAAAACAGAATCTTGCTATATCTCTCGTCGCAAAAATCGTTCAGTTCATTTGCTATATCTCTCTTCGCAAAAATCGTTCAGTTCATTGGCGTTTTGACTGTCCGAATTTCAACCCTCGGGAGAAAAGTAATCTGATATATAGATAACGAGGGAAAAATTAGGAATATAAAGCTAAACAGCAAGACAAAGCCAAGAGAGCTTCATTAACAGCCTGATGGATGCCCTACAATTCGGGATTTTCTTTCATGATAAATCGAATCCTAAAATTACTCCATTTTGTTTTACCATAACCATAGAAGTCCTCTTCAACAATGAGTTAAACTCACAGGTTAAAAAGCAAACACGTTGAAGTTTGAACATTATTTGTCCTTCATATGCAAATGAAACAGCAAAACTACCAAGAAATTCGCAATTCCAGAGTCAATGACTATACTTATCAACAAGCAAAACATGCAATCTACTATCTTGTTCTGGACAAATTAAGCTATAAAGCAAAGCTCTTTCACCCCCAAAATAGTAACTTTGAAAAGAAAACAATATTATTCTCATCGCATAAACAAAAAGTAATGGGAAAAAACCGAAACAATACTTACCCATCATCGACTATAAGATCAGCATTTTGAAGATCGCAAATTTGTTATCAAAAGAGCAAAAAGAATCAGAAACAGAGTTAGGGTTCCTATAAGAAAGACAAAAAGAGAGAGATAGAGAATAGAGGGGAAGGTTCTACTTTTTTTATATAAAGCAGACGAAAATATATGCCCAAGACTCAGACAACCTAACGAGCGGCGTAGGATGAAGGTAAGGGGAAATTGCAAAAAAGAAAAAGGCAAAAAGCGCGTGGAAGGGGAAAACGGGGGATTGACTGGAGAAGGTGAAGGCTAACTGTAAAGAAATGAATTTGGTGATGGATGTAGACAGTGGAGTGGGCCAGCTTATCATTAGGATATTCATTTTAATCTCTCCAACTTAACACTTGATTTTTAATTGCCGACACCTACATGTTTTTAAGGGTAAAATATATTTCCGCTAAGCTATACATCTCTCATATTTTACTCACAATACTTTTAATTTTTTTAATTTATTCATTGATCTTTTAAATTATTTTCGTTTGATCACTTTAAATTTTTTTATTATTATTTTTTATGACATGAATTTATTATTATGATTTAATATAACTACCGTCGGCCACTGTCAACTGTCGTAGACAGTAGTAGTTTGGTCACAAATTACATGGATCGATTTGTCTTGACCCACTGAATCCAAATCTGGTGGTTGTTTCATCAGAAATGTCTCAGAACTCATGAATCCCGACTGAAACGTTTTTACTTCCTCTCTTTCAATCTCTAATTCATGGACTTCAGAGCAAGTTCCGACAAAATGGAGGACAGGTTCGAACTCAAGGTATTGAGACAAAGCGACCCATGAAATTTGGGACCAAACGACCACCGCCTAATACGGTCGACGGTGACGTTTGACCACCTTTTATTTTTATTTTACATTTTTAATTATTTTATATTAAATAAAAAATACCACACCGTACATAAATAATAATAAAATAATGTAGAGTGATCAAAACATGAGTAATTTAAAAGTTCAATGAGTAAATTGAAAAAATTAAAAGTACATTTAGTAAAATAGGAGAGAGTATATAGTTCAATGAAAAATGATATAATTTACTCTCTTTTTTAATATTCTCATATAATAATATTTGTTCATAATATTTTTTAATTATCAAAAATAAATCTATATCTTATAAATATAACTGTTTGAAGTCGGGATTTCAAAGAGAACAACACTTTCTCTAATTACTGAGGTTATCCAATGGGTTCACACTTATGATTTATTGAAAGGTTAGACTACTTTTTAATAGTACAATGTAATTGTAAGGTATAATACATTTAAAATATTTTTTTAATTATTGATAATATATAAATCCTACATACACATTGCTTGAATGTGAGAGTTTTAGGATAAAACATCATTCCCTTTTAACAACGAAATAGTTTGCTGATTTTTTATGAAATTTTAAACGATAATGATTAATAAATTAATATTTTAAAACATTAATATTTTAATAAATCAAACGATTAATTCACCAACGGAAGTTGATTGTACATTTCACATTGAAAGTACTCTATTTGTATCATTTAAATTATAATTAAAGAACTCAATGTACCCGTCATAAAATAATTTTTTTATAGATAACTTGAGTTCAAACAATTATATATATATATATATATATATATATATATATATAATGAGTTATGATTCACTTACATAATGTAAATATTTTTAGTTTTACATAGATTTAGGATCGGTGGAAGAGTGAAAATAGATAGCTGAGATTGACTTTTTGTTTTCTTTTTCCAGTGAATGTCTTCTCATTTCATACTGTTAATCTCAACCATCTATTTTCACTCATCCAACGGTCTTAAATTTGTATAAAACTACAAGTGTTTTACATTGTGTAACATGATAATATCCCATATATTATAAATAAATAGTAATTACAGGAATTCGAAGTTGAATATGCATTAAAATTTATTTAAATATTATAAAGTTATAAATATATATATAAAAATAATATTTGTTTTAAGATTCCACTCACTATTTTAAGTTTCTTTTTTAAATAGTATGAGATGATAATAAAATATTTAATATCTATTCATAATATTTTTAATATGTTGACAATGCACATATCTTACAGACACAATTATTCAAACTCAAAACTTTTAAGGAGATTAATCTTTTATTTTTCCATTAAAATCACTTGATGAGTTCATCAATAAGTTTAAATTGAAGAAACTGTTGGTTTCGTTGGCAAATTTTGAATCTCACATTGGTTTTGTATGAGGATGGAAAATTCTTTTGTTATAAATAGAGCCCTCATCCTCCTTAGTTTAACATCCCCACAAATATAAGCCTTCTTCTATATTAAAGGCTATTTGTACTCTTTCTCTCTCTTTGTAATATTTCCTCTATTAGTGAAATATTATTTTAGTAGTGTTTGAGGACTTAGGCATAATTTTGGTCCAACCCTGTTAAATTTTGGTGTTATCTTTTATGTCTATTTAATAGCTATTGTTGGGTATAGTTGTTGTTAATTATTGTCCTATTAAAATTACTTGTCTTGGTAGTTCTGTCTAAGGAGAGTGGGTTTTAAGAGGGATCATTGTGACCCCTCCACTCTTTCCTGGGAATCTACCTTGGGGTGATTTTTAGTACAATCGTTTTCACACTAGTCACCTAGATAATAGTTTTCAAGGTGAATTTGTTATTATTGGTGGAAATTAACCCGAATTCCACAACAATTGGTTTCAGAGCTCTTGGTTTATTTTAGTATGCTCTGTGGTTGCGACTTAGGCTGATCTTCCACATCAGAAAAAATTTCCTTGGGCTAATTGACATTCCGCATTGACAGCTATTAAATAGAATTTGTAGCATAAATGGCAGACGACACAAAAACATCCACATCGTCGTCAACAACTTCTTCATCTTCAATTTTGGCAAGAAATGTTGTGACAAATGTTAGATTTGCAGTGGAGATTTTTTATGGCACCAGTCATTTCGACATGTGGCAAAGTGAGGTTCTATATGTCCTATTTCAGCAGGGTCTAGACATTGCTATTGAAGGAGAGAAACCAGATGATGTTGAGGAGAAAGAATAGAAGTGAATCAATATATTGACATGTGGTACTATTCGATCGTGTCTTTCTAGAAAGAAAAAGTATGCATTTTCTAAGAAAACTTCTGCAAGTAAATTGTGGAAGGCAATGAAGGAGAAATTTTTGAAGAAAAGTAGTCAGAACAAGCTCTACATGAAAAAGAGATTGTTCCGCTTCAACTATGTACCAGATACCACTATGAATGATCACATTACTGGCTTTAATCAGCTGGTGACTGATCTGATGAATATGGACGTGACTTTTGAAGACGAAGATCTAGCTCTGATGTTGATGGGATCACTTCCTGATGAGTTTGAGTATCTTGAAACTACTATACTTCATGGGAAGGTTGAGGTAACACCCCCAACCCATATCCGACCCGGGTAGAATCCGAGGTGTCACATTTACTAGTCAAAGCACATACTTTTATAAAAACCATAGAAAATTTAAAACTTCTATTCTATAAAGAAATTCTTTTACACAACCATGTTAAAATCTTAACATACTCTATCAGAGCATACATATTTAATGACTTAATTACATGCCAATATACTAAATTACATAACAAAACATACTTTACAAAATATTACTGATCTGAACTTTGTGCGGATATATACTGCTTTACGGATCCGAAGCTTGATCTTCTGACTTATCCACACCTACGTGTAAGACACTTACACGCTAAGTCATGGACTTAGTGAGACATGTAATTGCACAATGTAAACTAACAAAAGCATTCATATGTCATATAATACACATCATAATTACATACTTATTGAACCAATCCTTAACATGTTTATCATTACTTATTTCCTTGTAATTAATTATATTCTATCATATGCATATACTTAACATAAACATATAATATAACTTCAAACACAACAATACATGAATAATTACTATGATCCTATCATACATAACCACATATCAATTCTACATGTCACATATCACATGTACCATTTCACGAGAAACATACCTATCATTATATCCAATTATATTTTATTTTCAAAGTCCATGCACACTACTGAGAACTTAAGGTATGTGAGTACATAGAGGTTGTGCACTATGTTGTTACCACAGCTCGTATAAATCCCACTAGGGGCGCGTAGAATTTGTCCCGAAGGACCACGTAGATGTCCCGAAAGACCACATATAACACATATGTTCCGAAAGACCACATATAACACATATATCCCGAACGACCACTATGTCCCGAAGGACCGCGTAGACCCTCGACTCTTGGCATGCTAACTATACCTATAGCTCCAATAACACATGACATGGGCATTATCTTTTACCTCATTACACATTCACATATCCATATCACATAGTTCTTTCACATAGCTCCTTATCAGATTTCATATGATCATATAGTCACGTAGTTTACTTTCACGTAGCATTTTCCATGAAATTCACATTATTCGTCCTTTTCACACATGGTCACATCACATATACCTTTTTCTCATATGCATATAACATATTATTTCTTATCTTTTAACTTATATTACATATGCATGTAATTTTATGTCTTATTATCAATATCTCATAGATCACTATTATACAACACATGTTCGCATATACATGTTCTCATACAATCCCTTCATTCAATTATAACATCTAATATATCTTATTATACTAACATGTATTCATGTCATTCATTTTATATATATAACATATCATATAGCATTCTAATAGAAGCACATATGAGTCATATTATTTTATATATATTTTATCATATATCTCATGATCACATGACCTATTATCATAATACAGACATTTACATAGTTCACACATAAAAATGGATTCAACAATTAAACATGTGCATTTACTCATATACCATACATCTAACACCATATCACTACATATTTATGCTTTACTACTTATATCATATAATATCGGAATTGGACTCATCGCAAGTTTTAATTCCTTAACATAACGTACACTTACTATCATGTACTCACATGGTCTAAATGAACACTCTTAAGCTCTTATTTTCTTTGCGTATCTTACTCTGCAGACCTATCTGAACTTTGCTTTCGATCGATGTCTACACAATCATATATTCATACTATCAGTATTCCATTGATATACTATAATCTATAATTTCTTAGACTGAAAGAAAGATTTATTTCATTTCCTATTGAAGTGCATCGGTACATTATATCATGCATCGATGCATCCCTTAAAATGTGCATCAATGTACTACTCATGCATCGGTACACCAATCACCTTTGATGTTTTCATTTTTAAGGGGGTGCATCGATCCACT